GGGGGCAGCTATGCCAGGAGGTATTGCTGAAATTAGGAAACTTTTTGAGAGAAATCAGTTTAAGGAGGAATGACTTGCAGTTAGTTGCCACCTTCAAAGCATTAATAGGGAAGTTCTCAAATTTACACTGATTCCTGGCCATCCAAAAGAACCAGGAAAAGATAAAGGGAATGGGACCTAGGTTTTTCTTGACCCAATTAGTTCAGCAAATTGTTAATTAATGCCAATCCAGCAACAACGTATTAATAGTTAAGCACTTGATAAATTTAGTGTAGACATTTAGGGAGAAAGAGCACGGAAAGAAGAGGTGGGTTGTGGATTCTTCTGCTGCTTGCATAACCTGCACCTAGAGGGGCCCCTCAGCTCTTTTTATTTAAGGATATCATCAATTGGAAAAATGTTGTGGAAAATTTTCCATCCTAGGAAAGAAATAGAAGGAGTGAGAATTTTTTTCCAAATACAGTCACCCCAAGGGACAGAATCCCACTGCTAAATTTTGGAGTAGATTGCCAGATTAAGGCTTTGTGTTTTACTTGAAAAAATAACAATAGAGTCTTTTCCTGTTGTATCAAAAGGTAATATGGATATAACTTCAACAAAAGTGTGGGTCAACATATCAATAAACCACCTAATCCCCTCCTAGCAGTCAACCACCATTACATTTTGGATGAAATTATGAGCGATAGGTTGGAACATGCCATCCAGACACCAATTCTCCGACCATAAATTGAGCTTACCGTAGCCTAGATCCTAGAGGAAAAGTTTTTCAGCATGCTGTCTAACCTTTAAGAGGCTGACCCAAAGTTTGGCGTCACCAATTTTTCTATCAACCATAGTAGGATGAGTGACCTTGCAATATTTTCCCATCAGAAAGTTTGCCCAAAGTTAGTCTTGTTGTCTAAATTTCATCCAAAGCTTAAAAAGGTTAATTTGTTGCAACTGAGGCAAATCTTTGAAGCGTAGACCACCAGCAATAATGGGTCTAGAAACATTTTGCCAGCTAGCCCAATAAAGTTGTTTCCCCATTGTGGATTTGCAACATTACAATCATCTCAAACCATTTGAAACCACCCAAGTTGCCCAAAACCCCTCAAAATTGCCAAAATTATCAAAATTCCCTTGGTGGCCCAAACTTTCTGAAAAACCTTCAAAATCATTTCAAATGTCCCCAAAAATAATTTAGACCCTTCAATTGAACCCAATTTGACCAATTTTCATTTCAACCCTCATGCCCACCAATTTTCTCCCAATTTTAATTCTAAACTCAAATTCATCATTAACAAACTTAATTCAGACCAAACCCAAACCCAATTGACCCATACTTTGAGCCCAATTTCATCTTGATCAATCAATTGATTCTAATGTCATGGCTAGCCCAACCAAAACCCAACTTCAAGCCAATATGACCCAAATTGAACACATGCACCTAAATTGACCAAGCCATGCCAAACTAATCAAGCCAAAGCTTCTACAACCAACTTATAGACCCTAGTGACTAGGCTAGACTCACCTAGCCCACCCTAGATGAGCTATGGACCAATGGTCCCTTGATTTAAGGGATTTCACCCATCTTTGGCCTAAACTTGAAATATCTTTGCCATCATTGATTATTGATACACCAAAATAAAATACTATTTTAAGTACTTATTTTATGCTTATTTTTTATTATATTGTACTTTAAAGAAGGTATTGTTATGTTTTTGTTGTAGGTATATCATTTTTAGGTATTTGGAGCAAAAATAACAAAAGTGACGAAATTTAGAACCAAAACAATGAATTTTGGAATTCTTGAGCATGATGCGCCAGAATGGCGCATGATGCCCCAATTGAGAGAGGCTTGGTGTGTGATGCACCAAAGATAAAATTTTTGGATTAAGGCCATTCAATATGAATTTTGCACGAATTTTCAAAGGGACACTTGTTCTACACACCTATTGGAATAATTCAATGCATCTAGACATTTTGGAAGGTTCTTTTATGAAGGGATATGTCTCTTGGATTAAATGACACATCTTTTGAATTCAAAAGAGTTCACTTTTGGAGGGAATTTTGAATTCCTTTTGAAGAGATGCAGCTCAAAATAAAAAGAATAAGACTTCAAGGAGTTGAAGGGGGGATGAAAAGGACAAGAAAGTGGGTGGCATGAAAGACAAGGAGAGAAAAAGAGGAGATTTTCTTCTAGGGTTGTAAGAAGAGATGGAAGGTGAGAGATTTCTTCTTTATAACACTTCTAAGAGAGAATTGAGTAAGCTTGTAAAGACAGAAAGACTTGAAGAGAACTTCTAGGGGAAGGATTGTGAGATAAGTTATGTCTTTTATTTCTTTATTTTCTAAACTTATTTTTATATATGAAATTCATGTTTAGTCCTATCCTTCTCATGAATTCTAAGTTTTCTTCTTTATCCTTATCCCTACTTTGAGTTAAGGTTTTGTGAAGAATTTATTTTGTTTTCTATGGTTTTA